TCCTTGTTTTGCTTTGCTTGCGTGCGCAGCTTTTGCTTTCCCTGTTAGACTGTCTTTATCTCAACCCACGAGTTTTCTCACTTTTACTTTTCCAGTTCTCTCCCCCATCCCACCCGGGGGAGTGAGTGAGTGGCTGTGTGGGGCTGAGTGGCCGGCTGGGGTTAAACCACAACAATGTGTGACAGGAGGGTGCAAGATCCCCAATGGTATTTATATGCAAAATTGTCTCTGAAAGGTGTATGCTTATCCCTTACACTAGGGTTTATGGCCAGAAACAGCAATGCAGGTTATGCCCCAAAACAGCAATCTTCTTAATCCTTTTGGTTTGCATTAACTGTTATAAATCTGCATGGTCTTGTTCTCCACATAGTCATAAAATGGTATTTCAGCTCTTCTTAAATTAATGGCACTCTGCAGCAACATTTTCCATGGTCTAGTACAAGTCCTAAACTGAAAAAGTATTTCTATTACCTAATCTTAATTTCTCTGTGTTGTAATTTAACTGATTTTGTATTTTAGCAAGAACAGATGCTCGCAATCCAGCTTCTGTACCATTTATTATTTTATATGTTTTTTTCCCACTTTTCAAATATTTGTCTCTTTTCTGAAGTAAATAATTTCACTCCTTTCAATCTTTCTTCATCTGACAGTCTTTCCAAGCTTTGATCATTACTGCTGCCATCTCTCAACACTTGTAGCCTTGCAATGCAGCTTCTAAGATGAGATTTTACCCTCAGTAACACATGGAGTTGTGTTATTCTGTATATAATGGTATCGTAGATCATCCCTATAAGTCTCTGTCCCTTATGATATGAAGACTTTTTTTGTTTTCTCATCAGTGATGCACAAGTCATGTGAGTAGTTGTATTTTCTCTAAATGTGATAGCTCTGAGACAATACATATTTTTCATGGCAATTTATGCTAGCCAGTTATCTGTTCTGTCTCTGCACTGTATCACAAAAACATTCTTGTAACACAGACAACCTACCCGTCTAATCACCATCACAAAAAGGATCTGAAATGAGTGGGATGGCATTTCATCCAGCAAAAAAATGTTTCTGTTTAATGGAAGTGACAGTCTACAGTGTAAATGCCTGTCATCAAACATACTGTCTTGTGTCTTCCCCTCTCCTATAAAGCAATTGTAGGAGTTAGTCTCATGCTACATGCTATACTCTTGATTCTCCACAGTGCCACTGAATGTGAGTGCCTCTCAGCATACTCACGTCTAGTGCTGTATGTTTTCTGTTCACTTCCTACATGGTTAACCTCTTGATCTGTTGCTGTCTTCCATGATAGAGGTTGCATGGTCTTTCACATACAGATATCCTCAGTGGATTTCTGAGGAGAAGCTTTTTTCCCCCACATAGAAAAATGCTGGACGCTAGGACATCTTCAGTTACGCTGTCAGATTCAAAAAAATATTAAACTCCTTATGGCACAATGGTGTTGTGGGCTGTGCTGACAGCACAGAGCATAGGCAAGTGAAGCGTATCCCCCGCTGCAAGCGTTTATGAATCAGCAGGGTTCATAGCGCTGACTGACACCAAAATTCCCGTTGGTTCAAGTGGAAAATCAGCAAGAGATAGGATGGCATAGTAACTCTTAGCACCTTGTTGATCTAATTTGAGATGCTGATGAACAAGGTTATTGTGGATGTAGTCTTTATGAGAAAGCATTACAGTAGGGAGATTCATGAGCTGATGTTCAGAGACAATGTCACTCATCTGGACATGGGAAAGAAGGTCAAGGAGCCAGGTCAGAAAATCCACTCATACCTTAGGAGGAACTGACTTTCCTCTGGCAGGAGAGGTAAACTGCAGAGACATATGAGTGAGCTGTGTAGTCAGTGTGTTGTTGTTGCTTAAACAATGCCCCGTGCCTGTTTCTAAATGTCAAAATTCCCAAGTTTCCTTCCAGTGCAGTGGAATTCTGCGCAGCTGTCAGATGAAGGCAATGTTATCTACACACACTTGAAAACAGATGGACTCTTCATTCTTAATACTTTTATCTGAAGTGCAGATGAGGACAGCACTAATTTTACAACACAAATCCTCCCCCCTCCACCCCTTTAATTTTCTCTCTACATCCTTCAGCCACTTACCTATGTGAAAGTCAGAGATTATATTTCTTTGAGTAATTATTTTAGGGGCAATTGAAACATAAAAGAAGGAAAATTAGTAGTAATGTAGCTGAAGAGGTGTGGGGCTCCGCTGCCATCTGAGTCCAGCCAGGGAAGTGCACCCAATGTTCCTGTAAAAGGGCCTTTTGCTTACTGAATGTGCTACACTTTTTGTTTAAATCTATGGGAATTATTTATATATATGAGTCTTATGCCTGTGAGCTCTTCTGAACTCTGTGTGACAGGTTACAAATGGGGAAAGAGACAACTGCGTCTTTGTGTATCAGTTAAATTCAAGAGCTGGTGACTGAAGCTTCCCTCTGTCTTCGAGATGAAGTCTCTCATGTTGTGAGGTGCTGAATTCTCTGTGGTCACAGTGATTTGGGAGATGGGGCCTGTTTCAGGTTTGGGCTCCTTATTTCTAGTGAGACTCCAAGTGTGTAGAAGCAGAGTTCTGTGAAATCAGTTGGCTGTTCTACTGCATCCAAGGAGGGTGGGAGTGGGATATCACTGGCCTTGTGACTAAACTGGCTGGAAGCCTCTCTCTTCTGCTTTTCATTTCCCTTGGGCTCCGTGCTGTACTATCGCACTCACAGTCTTGTAATATTTTCTGGGCTTTTGCTTTGCAAAAGCGCTACAGTCTGAGGTTGGTTTTCCATGTAGGCTTTTATTATGTGACACCATACCTCCTTTTATGAAGGTTATTTTTATGTCCTCTGAAGGTTTGCTTTTTCTTCATAATTACTCACAACCTGACAGACTTATAATCCTCTGATAGGATTTGTGACATTGTAATCTTCTCTAGAGCAACCCATTGTGGCTTCACAAACAGAGGATTATAACCTTTAAGAACGCAATAAGCAGATGAACTCTTGAGATATCAAGACCCTGCTTTCATATCAATTTCCAGTGCTTAAGTTGTGGGAGGGCAGGGAGCGGTGCTGTGTTCTCACTCCCACCCACGTTTCTGGTTTTCTTCATCGTCTTTTGCCTCAAGTAGCAGAGTTGAGAAATTAATTAAACCCACCAGTTATACGCGCTTTGAGCACTGCAAATATCCTTAGCAAATTAGGAAAAGATAAATTCAGCAAATTTGACTTACACAACAGAATTTTTTTTGCCTAGAAGAATGTTCTTTACACTTTCCCATAAGGTATCACTTGTTTTACAAATCAAACACTTCTGTACCTTTTCACAGAAATAAAAAGAGTCTGCTAAGATGTACCAGCCAGCTCAGATTCTTTGTTTTGCCTGTTTTGTCTTTCAATGAAATTACCTTTCTTCCAACAATTAATATACTTTTACTTAATGGGAATGTGTCTGTCATCATAATATTTGTTCTAAATGTTTATATGCCTTACTTGTTTATTGTTTTCTCTTACCATAATGGTTATTGATGACCAATAAGTGTAAATTTTTATGCAGCTTGAATATATTAAAAATTCCCTTACTTCAGGCATTCCACTAGTTTGTCTATTAGCTGTCCCAATATACCTACTGTTTAGAAGGAAAAGACTAGACAGTATAAAAATTATAAAAGCAAACATGTTACCGACTTCATGTCTCTGTTATTTACTGTTATGACTAAGCAGTAACTTAGTGGTCCCCTGCCTATAGCTTGTGGGTAACAAATTGCCTGCAGGATTCTCATGTTGTTCACGGGCAAAGGCAATTGAAGAGTTAAGATTTAAGGCAGAGATAGAGTTAAAATTGGAAGGAAGTTGCTCAGCATTGTTCCCCTTCAGTCAGCAAAATTTCACTAGCTTATCATCCAGCTAATGTGGGGTTTGAGAAATATTTTACTTAAATATATATCTCACCTGAGCATATCCCAGTGGCGTACTCTGTCCCGATGTACCTGACCCAGCAATGGAGAAGAGTGTGCTTTTTACTTTCTGGCATAATTTGGTTTATTCTTTTAGAGTCTCTCTAGAGATGAAAATTTATCAGTGTTCTACAGTGAAGCTGTAATATCCAGTCATGGATCTCTTCTTTTCCGATCCGCATGTGCAAGTCTTGTTAATGTTGGTGACATTTTTGTTTTGTTAGTCTGTGTTAAGCAAACAAAAACTCAGAGAAAGAACTCAGAAGGTCGATGAAGAATTAGAGTTCTGTTCTCAAAGAAATAGCCATAATTTGTTATATTTTAGAATAGCGGAGAACAAAATTTACTGATTACAGAGTAAGATGCATGTTATTTTGTTGCATAGAATCACAGAAAATACAAATGACTGGCTTTTCAAAAGATTACCTCATTTATCCCATACTCCTCTCAGGAAGGATTACTTATACTCTTGATAGACGTTAGTCATGTTTTTAAAAAGCCTGCAGTGAGGGACTCCATAGCCTACCTGCACAATCTGGTCCAGTTCTAATGCTATTCTGGTGGTATCCTCACCATTAGAGAACTTGTCCTATTATCTGTTTTACATTTCCTTTAAGGCAGTTTAAGTCCATTAGTTCTCTTATCCTCCAAGGATATGGAGAGCAGATGATTATTATCCCTTGTGCTGCAGCATTTTATTTATTTTGAAGTCTCTGCACTACAGAATAGGAATGTTTTCAGTCTTCTCATATAGAATGATTAGAGGTCTCAGATATCCAGCCTTTCTGAACACATCTTTCTTGAGTTTTGGCATCTCCCACCTTCTCATATTTCTCATATCTTGCGGGATCTCTACTTATTTATGCACCCTAGCATACCATTTCTTCTCTGGCATCAGCAGAGTGTTGTTGATCCATTTCTGCCTTCGATCCTCTAAAGCCCAGAAATCCTCTTGTGTCAGACTGCTCTTTACCGTCTCATTCCTATCCTGTGTTTGTTTAGATGATTGTTCTTATACATAGAACCTTGCATCTCATTTAATAGGGATGCACCTTGTTTTTTCACACCATTTTCCCAGCTTTTTAGGATCTTTTGAATTCTAATTCTGTCCTTCAAGGCCTTTGAAACCCTTTCCAGCTTGGTGTTGTCCACAAATTTTACAAGTGTCTGTACGCTCTTTCCCATCGTCGTCCTCTTTAATGAAAATAATGCACAATATTGGAGAGAGAATAAATCCCTGCAGAACTCTGTTCAGTATATCCTTCAATTTAAAAAAAATATGATTCACTGGGGACTATTCTCTGAATGCAGTTTTTAGACCATTTTGCACTTACCTTTCTAGAAAGAGCTTCTGAAATCTTATTAAAAATCAAGATTTATTATATCTACAGCTTTCCCCCATCCAAAGGGCCTGTTACACTGTCATGGAAGGAAATTGCTTAGGTTTAGCTCCATTTGTTCTTGACAAATCTTTATTAGTTGTTATTCATGACCATGTTTTGACTAGATGCTATAAGAAGTTTGGTGAAATAACTGTTGGTTTCTATTCCTTCCTCCCTTCCTTTCCCCTGTCCCTTAATTCATGAATTAAATGATTACTAAATGATTTTAATTGTGTTCTTTCTCCTCTTTTAAGGCTCAACAGCACACCTTTGGTTTTGACAGTTTTACAGAACTTCATCCATTGGGTGAGTTCTTAAAGATAATGGCACTTAGAGGACTCAAGTCTTTTCTCTAAGTGTGCAGGACTTCTGGGCTGTCGAGTAGAAACATGTTATAAATTTTCGTTATAAAATTACCCTTGAAACGTGCTCTTCCTGTCCTCAGGTGTGACCCCTCCCTTTTCTGATGCTGATTCTTGTTAGTTTCTTGAAACTATTGCCTTTTTTAGTGAATACTGAGGTATTGTCCTCTAAAAGTGACAGTTTGATTCTTTGAATCCTCAGATGTTAGCTTTTAATAACTAAAAATTAAACAAAAATGAAGTATTTTGGAGTCCTATATATGGTTCTCTTTCAATCAATACCAAGCCTTATATAAGTGAGCATTTATAGGAGCCACAGTAATTTGGATTGGTCCTTTATGTAGAATAATAGCTTAACATTTAGCTGCTTGGTTATGATGTGTTCCACATTGTTATTTCAATAACTGCTAGATTCAAATTATTTTCTATTTAGATAATGTTGTTTTATCCAAATATATGCACAAGAGTTTCAGAGGAAAAAATTAGGTGAGAGAGAAGATCAGACAAATAGCTTCTTTCGAAAAAGAAAATGCTATGTTTTGGGGGCAAAATGGTATAATCTTAGCTTCTCTCTTATTTTTAGCCCATCTCGTTTGCCTTAGGCCTCTGAAGTCAAAACTGAAATATAATAATGCAAGCAAAGTAGACTAAGTATATCTTATAAGAGTAAATATAAAGCCGACAAGTGTCCAACTCATTTTCTTTAAACTAAATAACTTCTAACCATGCAGCCTGGGAAAGAGGTTATCATGGTACCTTGCAGATAGGTGGTCTAACTAGAAGTTATATATCCTGTTTACAGAGCTTGACATTCTCACCAAGAAGAAAACATACTTTAAAACTCCTATGATTTGAGAAGAGGCATGCATTGTCAGCTTACAAGGTTCACTGGTCTCTTTAGTTACGGCATTGTTACCAGTATGTGGCAGATGTTTAGGTTATAACTCTTGCTACGTATTTGACACTGGCCACAAACCAGTTACTTGTTTGTAACTTTCTCATTACTCACAAATGTTTCCTAGTGAGGCTACTGATGACATTTCAGCAAGAGGTGAAATAATTCTGTTTGTTTCATGCTTAGGCACTAGAGACAAGAAGAAAGAGAAAATGGAAAAATAGATTTTAAAAAATACTTTCCTTTTTGCACTTAAAATTGTGAATTTCAGAACCTATCCTGAGAAACAGGGGAAGAATATCTGTCCATTTTTTTCCTGGAATTATCACCCAGGTATTTACTAGGGGAAGGGACTTATTCTTAAGTTTTTTATTTGATTTTAAATTGCAGTTTTGTAAGGAAATGAACATCATATTACCAGTTGCCATTTAATTTTAGTATGCTAAATAATCTTAAGGATCACTCAAAAGTATACTAAGTGACTTCAGCCTCCCATTATTTGATCCTCTCTATTGATGATGTACATACTGACCTATTGAAGGAAGGGCCAAGTAGATATGGGAGTGGAGGAAAGGGAGGACAGAGAAAAATCTTTCCATAATTAGGACATAGGCAATCCTGTATCAACAGGAACATTCTTTTCCTTTTTAACATTTCAGTAATGTTCCCATTTTATTTTGAACCTTTGGACTTAAAAGGCAACTGTGATAGCTGCTGTCTCAACCCCATGTTATTTTAAGAACCTCTTATGTTTAATTTCTGTGATCAATAACGTCCATGCACATACACTGACGTGCAGCATAAAGATGACCTAGTTCTATTTTTGTATTTTAACGGCCTCTTGTACAGTGGTAACTCTGCTGTTAAAGGGACAATGATGAACATATGTTTCAATAAATGAGAAAATCCTACTGCTTTGAAGAAGCGAATTTCAATGGCTTTTAAAAGACTTCAGCCACCTGAACGGAGGTTGAGATTACAACCTTTTTGCCAAAATGCAAATATTTCCTTCAAAATAGTCTTTACTGAAAGCAGTTATCAAAATAACTGCAGTAGGCTAGGCACAGGTCACTCTGTTCCTCTAAGAATAAGGCATAATGGGCTACATTATCATAGGCAAGTTGCTTAGTCAAGAATACTCTTCAAGATATGCAGCTGACATGAATGGAAAGCTGGAAAAAGCCTCCATCTGTCCAGTGGTGGAAATCAGAATGGATTGGTCATGTAGGGCTGGACACATGAGCACCTGAGCTTGTGCTATGAGCTGTAGATGTACTGCACTTCTCCTTTTTAGTGCGTATGTACCTTAACACTGTTGTTATCAGTGCTGCAAGTACTACAGCTGGGGCTGTTTTTTCGGATCAGTGTCCCCAGGGTGTGTGCTCACGGCTTGCGCACCGTCCTCTTTCATCCTGCCATGCCAGAGGTAAATCTGAGACCTGCAGTTCTTCCTGCCAGAGAATTGTACTGTGTTGCCAGATTTCTCTCAGAGCCTTTTCTTTTTTTATTGCTTATTTCTGTTCTACATTACCCTAAGTTAGACCTTTTTCTTTGTCTTCCTCCTCCCTATAATCTGTGCAGGGAATGACCGCTTGGCTGTGTGGCATCTTCAGCCATGTCTTCTCTTCAAGTTTACAGCTGTCGGTGCTACATTTCCCTGAAAAACACCTGCACTGCAGGTGTCTGTACAATCTCAGAGAGGCAGGAATAGGATATAGATCCATGAAAATATCTCCAGCCTAACTCTTTAGTCTCCACCTTATGTCTGGAGAGCCAAGATAACTGGCTCTGGAGCTATCATCATTCCCTGCTCTGTCTCAGTGCCCAGACGCATCGTTGGTGCTAGGTGACCGCAGGCACCCTGACCCAGGCAGAGGGACACTGACTGCAGAACAGCCTCTGGCACCACCACTGGGACAGAATCCTGGGCTTAACTCTGCAGTCTCTTCAGAAATGTAGCTGTAGCCAAAAAGGCAAGACAGAGGGAGAACAGTGTCAGCAGTCCTGTACTCTTCTGCTGGCTTGCCTGGGAGGCTGTTGCTCACCCTACCTCAGTACAGATTACAAGCACCATCTCACCCCAACCCAGCACCCTCCATCACTGAAGGCTTATGTGGAAGGGCCTTTACGTTCTGGCTGCCATACCGCCCATGCTGGAAAGGTGGCCGGGGAAGGCCTCCTGGGTCCCTCGTTCCATCCCAAACATCTTATCTTGTTCCTTTTCATGGCTGCATTTAAGGAGACTATTACAACCAGAGGAAGGTTTACTGTTGTCTCTATGTACCACGCAGGTTGCTCCCCCTCCTCTGAGAAGGTAAGAAATATATATACCAGTACTTTTTGGTTCTGAAGAAGAATGACAATGTCAAGCTCACCTGAAGCTGCAGGAATGGGAGTACTTCCATTGACATAGTTGTGTCCAGAATGGTCACATTAGACACAATTCCATCCACTTTCTTTTCTCCTCTATTCTCACTTTCATGTTTCTGCTTTGAGAAGACAAAGTTACAGGCACGTGCCACCCTTCTGTGGCATAGCAACAAGAAAAAGAGAGGAAGATGATTATTCCCTTCTAATTGCTGCTAAGTCAATTTAAAATAAAAGGTGTCCAGCTCTTAGGATTATAATATAAATTCCTACAGTGTGAGCCTACAGCGAAGAAACTGGCTTCTGTAAACTACTTGTTGGACAGTTTCTTTTCTTTTCATTGGAATTTAAAAGAAAGATTAATTAATGAAGTCTCTCAGCTCCTAGGTTATTTCTTTTATGGCCTCTATTTGCTTACTATTCTATTCATTCTTCTCTCTTACTCATTACAAATTGGTGCATTGTGTTATCGGTAAGTTGAGGCACAAGTATGAAAATGTAGATCTGATATTTTGAAAACTATCTTATTTAGGGCGAGGTTTTGATCAGTGCTTAGGCTAGCCTTTACTTTGTTCGCAGTGAAACTGAGACTTTTCAAGAATAGCAGAATCAGGCAAATTTAGAACATTTCTGAAGCTCTGTCTGAATGTATTTCATGAACACCTACTTTAATGGAGTTAGGCCAATATTTAGAAATTGAATTGCAGTAATTCAGCGTATCTTCTGATACCTCATCACTCTTTAATTTACAAATGTGGTGCTGATTAATTAGATTCACAGTACCTTTTATATCCTCAACACAGTGCACATGTCGGTGTGTTTATTTGCGCTCCTCATTGCCAGTGTGCCCTAACCTCACGCGGAAGCCACATATATCTTTGAGAATGTCTCACCCCATTCATCTCTTTCGACCTTCCTGATGAGACACAACTTCTTATTAGTTTCTCTTTCAGAGCTGTGTTTTATAATGGTCACTGGAAAGTGACTGAGATCAACAACCCTTTTCACAAAAGCCACTGAATAAAAACGAGTTGGTAAATTAATTCTCAGTCCCTTGCAAGCGAACGTGGGTTATGTTTGCACTGATGCCTTGGAGGTGGGGTGGTTGTTATCCCATAACAATTCCCTGGGCTCTGGTTCTGTCTTTCATTAAACCATAGGAACGTTATTTTCCATGTG